CTTTTCTTGTCTTTCTTCCTTTCCTCCCTTCTTTCTTCATTTTTTTCTTTCTTTCCTTCCTCCATTTCTTTTAGAGTTTTTTTTAATCCTTTTGGGATTCATTTAGATGTAGGACTTTTTAAAAAAAATCCTGTGTCTTTAGCCAAGTTGCCCTAATATCAATTACTGAATAATCCATCAATTTCACCAATGATTAAAAGCCGTCTTTGGGGGTGCCTGGGTGGCTCAGTCGGGTAAGCATCCGACTTTGGCTCAGGTCATGATATCATGGTTCATGATTTCCAGCCCCACGTTGGGCTCTGTGCTGACAGCTCAGAGCCTGGAGCCTGCTTCAGATTCTGTGTCTCTCTCTCTCTCTCTCTCTCTCTCTGCCCTATTCCATTCACAGTCTGCCTCTCCCCCTCTCTCAAAAATAAACATTAGGGGCGCCTGGGTGGCGCAGTCGGTTGAGCGTCCGACTTCAGCCAGGTCACGATCTCGCGGTCCGTGAGTTCGAGCCCCGCGTCGGGCTCTGGGCTGATGGCTCAGAGCCTGGACCCTGTTTCCGATTCTGTCTCTCCCTCTCTCTCTGCCCCTCCCCCGTTCATGCTCTGTCTCTCTCTGTCCCAAAAATAAATAAAATAAAAAAAAAAATAAAATAAACATTAAAAAAAATTTAAGCCATTTTTATCATATTATTTTTCTTTTTCTAGACATCATATATTATTCTTTTGATTGACCGATTAATTCTGTTGCCCATACCATATTGTTTAAAATTCTGCTATAGGTCAAATACTCCCTATTTTTATTTTCCAAAATTTTCTTAGATATCAATACATACTTATTCTTTTGGAAAAATCTGAATTATTTTGCAAAATTTTCAACAAACCTGCATTGGGATTTTGATTGGGATTAACTTAGAAGAAACAAACATATGTATTTCAATTTTGGGTCTGTCCATTTATTGAAGGCCATGAAAAATGTCCTCATTTCTTCTTAAAGTTTTATAAACTTTAAGGAACTTGCTAATAGCTATAGGTTCTGTAATATACATACCCTTTTAGTTTATAGCAAGTTGGAAACTGATACAGCAAGTCCATATTAATTAATATGTGAATGCCTTTATTGGTACTAGGTAATTGCTATGGACTGAATGTTTGTCACCCTCAAAATTCATACACTGAAGCCCTAACCCCCAGTGTGATGGTACTTGGAGATGGGGTTTGGGGGAGGTAATTAGGGTTAGATGAGATCACGAAGATGGGTGCCTCATGATGGAATCAGTGCTCTTGTAAGAAGAGACAAAAGAGATCTCGCCCCCCGCCCCCATGCTGGCACAAAGAGGTCATGTGAGCATATGGTGAGCAATTGACTGTCTACAATATTTTGCTGAAATGCTTTGCATAAGGAGCAATTCAGGAAAACTTGAAAGTTTCTAAGTCACCTTATTCCCTCATTCAAAGTGAAAATGTTTTAGTTCTACAGATAAATTGCGTATTCCTAGAAATGTTGAATTCCCTATTTTATTGCATCAAAGAATGTCAATGGGAAAATCGTCCTTGGTATTTAGTGACCACAAGGCTAATATCTGAGCATATCTGGAAGTAGTAGCACAGAGGTGCCTTTCTAGTCATACCTTATAGTTGGGGAACACTTTAGAGTTTGCTAAGTGTATTCATCTGCATAATTTTCTTTCATCCTCCGTAAATTCAAATGAAGTGTCAGTCTCATTTTATGGGTGGTACAAACTGCTATTTGGAGAAATGAAATGTCTTTTGCAAGGTAGCACTGAACTGGACTAGATTTAATTTATTCCATTGAAGGATTTTTTTTTTCTGAGAACTTAGTGATGTACATTATGGTCCCCCAACCTAGGCCTTTCTCTCCTCCGATGGTAGGAATTCCTCCCAGCTACTGGTAGCTTCTTGGCTGCCTTATGCCATGCTGTACTTGGCTAGGTAGCTCTAGGTGACCCCAAAGATCCAGCCCACCACCGGACTCTGAACCTGTTGGCAGATGTGTGTGCTGCCTCCCCTAAGGGACAAACCTCTCTCTGCCAGTCTCTATGGAGTCCCTACTGAGCCAATGATTGAAAAAGGACCTCCCTTCACATTGGAGGTGTTTGCTTGAGAAGCTCTCCTTCAATTCTCCCTCCACTATTCCCCGCCCCCCTGCCAATTATTCTGCTTTGTATACAGTAAATGGGAGGTTTTACACTTGATCTTAGGTCCAGATGAGAAGCCAGGCAGGAAACATAAAACCTATAGGCCTTGGTTTACTCATTGTCCTACTTTATCCTGAACCAAACCTTTCACTAGTGAAGTGAAACAGTGTCCTAAATTCAACATAAGATTTGTTGCTTGATGAAGCAGACAAAAGGGAAAAACATTGCTGTAACAGTAAAAATTTATATAGCAAGAACAATAAAAACAATACTATATTTAACTGAAAAGCAGGTGAATTGCTAAATGAAGTTATTTTCTGAAAAGACAAGTGACATTTAGTCCCAACTTTGTGCTGATTATGTATGGAGAAGATAAATCAGGAGTGAGGTATGCAGGGATTGTCCTGGGAAAAGTAAATTAAAAAAAATTTTGTTCTGGGGGCACTTGGGTGGTTCAGTCAGTTAAGCGTCTGACTCTTGAGTTCAGCTCAGGTCAGGATCTCACAGTTGGTGAATTTCAGCCCCTAGTCGGACTCTGTGCTGACAGTGCAGAGCCTGCTTGGGATTTTGTCTCTCCCTCTCTCTCTCTGCCCCTCTCCTGATCGTCTGCACTCTTTCTCTCTCCAAATAAATAAACATTTTAAAAAATTGTTCTGAAAATAGTTTAAATGTATATAGCTTGTAAACTACACAGAAGAGTATACAACATTAACAACTTAAAGTTTATCTTTAAATTTAAATATGCAGGCATCTTTTTCTAATTCTCTATAGGAGCCTTATCTTCCTTTATCACCTTTAGATTTATTATGCCCCAGAAATAAAAAAAAGGAATGTCATATAGGAGAAAAAACAGTAGGTACTTTCAGCATTTGGACATTAAAGTTGTTTCAAGTATTTTTGTTTGAACTCCCCTAAAGCCTCTGTTTTAGAGTGGTACAGGATTACCCACTCACAAGGTCCCAGTGTTTCATTATCTCGGTGTTCTCAGGAGAGATCTCGGGAACAGAACTATTAGCATAGATCCAGCATATTCTCTGAAATATTTCACCCTCGGGTCCCTAAACTCAAGGGAAAAAAACAACAGAATTTTCTTTTACAGAGTAGAGAAAAGAAGCAGAGGGGTGTATAGTTAGAGGAACATAGGTCTAGGTGATAGGGAACTACTGCATTTTGGGTTTGGTTCTGAGATTTTAACCAAGTTATCTTTTCAGGTTTCAATGTCCTCACCTTACCAAAAATGGAGGTAATAATTCTTATGTCACAGAATATCTGGAATGGTTAAATAAGAACATTTGATAGTAAGATGGTATGAATGAAGTGGAGAAAGAGAGAGAAAAGAATTACTGAAGGCTGGATATATGCCAGGTACTCTAATTACAGCCAGGGCTCTTAAGAGAGATTAAGGGCCATGATTTAGGTACACAATTCCAATCACGCTAAAATTTGAAATCAAATCATTAATTAAAATGTTTTCAATTAAGCTTAAGTAATCTATATTTCACTCTATGAGAAATTTCCTTCAGCTTAATATATTTTTAAGGCTTACTATTACTAAATCTCAAAAGCAGAGTAAATCAACAGTGGAAAATAAAAATGCTTTCTATAAATATTTCCTTCCAAATGTGTCTTATGTTGGCAGACTAATAATTCATAATAAAAATAATCTGTATAATATTTTACACTTTTCCAAAATATTTTTCAAAGGGTACCCTAACTTATATGTAATACATTAAATAAGCATGACTTTTAAAATGTAACAACAGAAAAGTCTGACACATGATATTTTTCTAGTTTTAAAGACGATTTTATGGATGGAGAGTAAATAATTTCATACAGTATTTTCAAATATTCTATAGACAAAACTTCCTCAAACAGAAATTTAATACAATTTGAAAGAAAAAAAGATTAAATATATCAAAATATGCTGAAAACACTCAGTTTTTCCTGAAAATAAAATTCAGTAAAATCAAGAAATAATTAAATATTATAGATTAAAAGTTTCAGCTGTTAAAATTAGAAACATAAGAACCACATAAGATATTTTCTGTTTTAGTAACTGCATATATATCTTCATATATACTTTTCAAGAGTAATCTTATTAAAATATATTATAAGAATTTAACAAATGTTTCAGTAATGTATTTTTCTATTAAATGTACACACATACATATAAATATTTAGGAAGAAACTATATCATCTTCTGGTTATAGATGACAGAAAGAATCTGATAAGGTCATAGTCTTTCATTTGACCTTATATAGAAATAACTGGAAAGTAGTGAGACATATATTTTTAATCATTTTGGTATATAATTGGGTCAGGTTTTATTTTCAGTGCTTATTCATAATTTCCTGTTAGCAAGATACGCTAGTTACAAGAAAAATAAAGTAATTTAAAATTAATACTTGATATGAGGCTAGAATATATGTCTTTATAAAAATAAATATCTAAGTAATAGATATTTTATTTTCTAGACGAGGTAGATAAATTAAAATATTCTAGAACATGATCTGTGCTTTAAAAAAAAAAAGAGAAAAATAGCAATCACCAATTCAACCTGTATGAATCAAATAGCTGGAGAGTTTTCTATTTTTGACATATGTACCATATATTTCAAGTACAAGGCCTCTGTAATACAGTTTCTACTCCCCAAAACCTTGGTAAGTTGAAATTCATATTTTTCATTTATTTACTCTTTACTTAATCTACCTAGGGCAACTTTGCTATTCAGGTCAAAGACATGTGCAATTAAACTAAAGATTGCTAGTTTTTAAATTTTTTGTGTTTAAGTGGTAGTTTCCCTTCATATACCTTATCTAGTAAAATACATTAGGAAAAGATGTTATACCACAAATAATTATTTAGATGATGAGTTAATAAAAATTTCAAGGTCTGCTAAAGAATTATGAAGCTCCTCATTCATATCTTGACTTCTAAGAAAACTTTTAAGAGTATCTAAAGCAGTTATGGCCTCATTTTTTGATGGTAAAGGGAGCTCAGTTCCTAGAGATCCACCATCATCCTCTTCATCAGAAGTATAAAGCCCAGTTTCATCTGATTTACTCTCTTCGGTCCATACAGAATCACCTTTTGGTGCCGCTTCGCACGTCTCCAAATCATCATCGAGGGCAGCATACTCTTCTAGAGATAAACCTTCAGGAAATTCCACACCTGCTGCCTGAGCATGGGCAACCAAATCAAGACCAGTGTCTGTCTCTGCATTTGTCTTGTCACTTTCTCCCTTTTGAGATTTGAATCCTGCCTCTTCATAGCTCTTAACAATAGTCTCAGGGGTTACAGCCCTCCAGCAAAGGTGCAAAGTATCAACTGCGTCTAGTAGGGAAAATGTAAATTCTTTGCTGCCTTCAACAGAGCTTAAAAATTTTTTGATAAGACAATGTCGATATTTGATTTTAAGGCTTTTAATAACACCTTGTTTCATAGCTATAAATTTGGAAGATACACATGATGGAAAGAATGCTAACTCAATGGACTTTAGGTTCTTTACCTCTGGATGTGAAGGAAAAGAATCAACAAAGATCACCACTCTTCGTTGCTGGGCTTGAAATTTCTCATCGAGCTTCCGCATCCATTGTTCAAACACATCTGAGGTCATCCATGCCATCCTGTTAGCTTCATAACACACAGGCAATGATTTTATACCTTTGAAACAATGTGGATTTCTGTGTTTTCCAATGATGAGCAAAGGAAGTTTCTCTGAGCCATCCATGTTTGTCCCAACCACTAGAGTTATTCTGTCTTTGCATAACTTTCCAATCGAGCAGGTTTCTCCTTTAAATGCAAATGTATTTGTAGGTAACATTCGATAAAGCAGCCCAGTCTCTTTTATATTAAAAACATTTTTAGGATGATAATCATTTAAATAATAAGGAAGTACATTTTGGTGCCAGACAGTTGAAGGGTCTACTGAAACACCCGTAGCTTCCACAGGTTGAGCTCTGAATACTAAACCGTACCTGGATTTAAAGCGATCCAGCCAACCGTTACTGCACTTAAAATCATTATGTCCCAGTTTCTGTGCAAAATCATTAGCTTTTAGACGTAGCATTGGACCATTAACTGGTACATTTAGACACTGAGCAATTCGATACCACCTCATTAATGCCTCTTCCAGATCTGTGTAAAAAGCAGTTCTCAGTCTTTTTCTCTTTGGATCAAATCTCAGAGATTCAAAGGCTTCTAGAACTTTGTCTTTATTCTTCATAATAGAAGACAGTGAATTTTTCTTTATTCCATATTCAGCTGCAATTTCTGCCTTTTTCTTGCCACTTTCTACTGCGTTTATAATGTCGATCTTTTCTTCAATGGATAAACTTTTCTTTTTCTTCACTGTTACGGGCAGAGTCGAGGCATCCACAGAAGCTTCTGCCATCTCAACCGGTGCTTATGTAGAGATTTCCCGTCTTTCTGGTGTCTGTTTCTTTAAATTTCTTTTCCAAAATGATACAAATTGCTGCTTTCTATCCCGCTTCATATATTAAAAGTTGGCAAGTGTCTATTAGTCTTAATTCTCAGGAAATTGAGATGTAAATATATTTTTTCAAAGGTTCTGAATAAGGAAAATGTTATATGCAACTAGAATATTTTAGAAGAGAAACTTCCTTCCCAGGACCTGTGCGGCTCAGTTTATAGTTTATTCAGAGTTCCAGAAGTCAAGCTAAAATAGAAATCTCATTATGTCAAACCTGTCCAGTCCTGCTGATATATTTTTGGAACTTCAATCCTTTAAGATGATCCATTTTATCCATGCACACTCAACCTCCTATTAATTCTCCACAGAAGGCCTCAGAGATAAGAAGGAATAGCATTCAGTAATTTTCATGCAAAATGTTACCCATTAATTTCCAAGTCTCTTCAGGGTAGAGAAGGAAGTGGTAGACTCCTTCTAGGACCTGACGGTATATCTTCTGCCTCTTGAAAATGTAAAAAAAAAAAACAAACAACTTATTTTAGCAATTATGTGTCAATCGAATATCAAAAAGAATATTTATACTAATTAGTTATGCTTTTCATAATAAAGAAAAGAATGGGACCATGTTTCTGAAAATATAATAACCAAAGCTTCCAGGAGAAAGGCTTACCTCCTCAACGGCCTCGGTAAAAAGCCCTGTAGCTTTGCTCTATGCGTTTGAATTCTCACTTGCTTTTGAATGTTTTGTAATATATACTTTCAAAATAATTCAGACAAACTTAATCTGTTTTAAAAATGGGCACTTACCAAAATTAAAAAACTAAAAATTATGCTGGATAGATCTTTGGTGGCTATTTTTCACATGAAGTCATAGCCTGCCCCCTCTGACTCCTCTAAAAGAAAAACATAGTCAGACAGTAGTCACAAGGTTCAACTTTTAATAGCACATGGGAGACAGTGTCTCCTTTATAGGAGTCTGGTAGAAAAGGCTTCACTAAAAATCAAAACAAGTGATTCGATTACAAATTTTAGAAATCAAAGTCTTATTTTATCTAAATGCTTACAAACCTAGTAACTTTTCCATCAACTTGACACACCAGCCAGACGCGCAGAGGCCAGAAATAGTTGACAAAATGCATAGGAATAAGCAAATTCTTACAAGGGTATAAAGCAGAAAAAGACCTAGACTAAGAGTAAGAAGGAGAGTGACCATGGGTCGTACTTAATGTCTCAGGACCTCCACTTCCTTATCTGTAAAATAGAGCTTATTATAGTGTAAGGATATGGGCTTTGGTGCCAGCCACACCTGAGTTGACAAGTGATTCTGCCATTTAGTACTTACGGGATCCTGGGTAGATTACTTAACCATTTGAAGCTTCAGCTTCCTTGTTTGTAAAATAGGTGTAACTACAGCCCCTACCAAACAGGGTCATTGCACATTCAATGAGATTCAACGAGAGAGTGTGACGTGCTCAGCACAGTATTTAGTACCTTGCAAAGTGTTCAGTGAATGCCTGGTCATGATCTCGTTATCATTATTTTCTCTCTAACGTCCCTTTGGCTGTGTCAATCTACACAATTCAAAGATTTTACAAAATCCTACTTGCAAACTGAAGCAAGAATCCCACCTTAAACATATACTGAAAGCAGAGATCTTCTTAAATCAAACAGTACTGTGAGAACAGTCACATGGACCAGATAAGCTTGCCCCTACCTTCCCAGGTAGCACCTACTATACCAGAATCTACAGGCTTCGGGCCTACTGCAGGCCAAGGTAGCAAGCTAATTTGATGAGCAGGTGTTACTGCTGTGTGATATAGTGTGGGCACTCCATTCCTCTAGTTTTTCTCTTCTCCCAGGTTTCAAGATGTCATATGCATTTTTTGCACAAAATTTTTTGACAAAACTTTTTGTCAAAATTCCTCCGCCTTTGTTGTCTAAAAAAAGTTAATTTTTATCATAGGAATTACAACCAGTAAAGGATTTTCATTGTTGTTGTTGTAAAAAGACCTTAATAATAATTATGATAGCCCAGGGCTTTATTTTCCAAACACCTTTACTTCCTGTATTTCAAACAACTCAGGAGGAAGATAAAACTGAATTTCAAAGCTCATGTAGTTATAACGTGGTTGAGGGCACTAATATAAAATCTACCATTCTCTTCACTATATTACAGTGCCTTTGGATCACACTGGTGTGGCCTCCTTTGATAATAGTTGTACACTCTGTGTCCCCAGCACCCAACCAAGGCAGCATTTGCAATGCCTATCCAAAACCCAACAACAACAACAACAACAAAGCAACATCAAACCTCTACAGAAGAATAGGCCTTTATGAATTCTGTGAACACAAATAGCAACCATATCCCAACGTTAGGGTGGGCTGACCTTTCTAAGTAAATAAGCTTTGCGCATTCAATTAAAACAAACAAACAAAACAAATTTGCTCATATATGGGACCTCCCTATACATATTTCTGCAATTCCCTGTAAATCTACAATTACTTCAAAATAAACATTTTTTAATTTTTTTTTAAATTTTAAAAAATTTAGAGAGAGAGCATGCAAGTGGGAGTGAGGGGCGGGGGGGGGGAACGTGGCGGGGGAGGGAGAGAATCTTAAGCAGGCTCCACGTTCAGTGTGGAGCCTGACATAGGGGTTCGATCCCGTGACCCTGAGCCAAAATCAAGAGTCAGATGCTCAACAGATTGAGCAAACCAGGTACCCCTCAAAATAAACATTTTTAAATATCTTGCTCTTATTGGGAAGATACCAACCTTTAGAAATTGAGGTAGCAAGAAACAATTTTTTAAGACAAAACCACACAGAACTACTCTCCAAGAGAAAAAGGGACTCTCCCAACTTCTCCCTTCCTTCTTTCTTCTGTTCTTTCCTTACTTCTTCTTTTCTTCCTTCCTTCCTTTTTTCCTTCTGCCTTATTTCATTTGTTAGAAATAAACCCTCTCATCTCAAATAACAAGGATTAGAGAAAAAATAACTTGAATTTCCTCCTTCACTCCCTCTTAAATAAAGCAATATAATATACACAGAGATTAGTGATTATCTTGATCAAACTGAAAATAATGATGTTCATTTAGGAAGATCTTAGTTGTTTTCTGAGAGTTAACAGTATATATTTCCTTCTAAAACAAGAGTGAAACCTATAATTTTCCATGGTAATATACAACATATGTTTATACCCGAAACAACCACATTTCTGATGCTGAGCCAGACAAGCCAGACTTTTTTTTCCCTAGAAAAGAACAAGGCACCAATACTGCTTAACCAATGAAGCTAACATTTTCCATTCTCGCACAGTATAATGTCTGGGATATTTCTTGCAGGGAGTAATGGCAGTAGCTAATATTTCTCAGAAGTACCCATTCTCTCAATTATGCTCATTAATCATTCTACTCCATGAAAATATTATAGCAGGAAAATACCGTACACATTAGATACTATTTTCTCCATGTCAATGGTAAAGCTACCTAAAGAAAAAGAATTGGCAAGTCACTAAAAAAGACTTACCAAGTGAACTCCAAGTAAAGGAAACAATAATCAATTCTACTGGTAATAAGAGAAATGTAAATCTTCTTTCAAACCAGGAGATACCCTTTTTGTTTTTTTGTTTTTGCCTACCAGAATGGCAGTATCTAGTGTTTGCCAGAATATAACATAGGTTATGAGGCGGTATATAAACAGGTACAAAGCTTACAAAGGGCAAATTAGTAACATGATACAAAAATCTAAAAAATGTGCATCACTTTTATCCAGCAAGTCCATGCCTAGGATTTTATCCCCAGATAATAATTTGAGATGCAAAAATAATCTAGCTTACAAATGTATTCATTTCCTATTTCTGCATTTAGTAGCTTAAAACAATACCCTCTTATTATCTCACAGTCCTGCAGGTCAGAAGTCCAGGTGAGCTCAGCTGGGTCCTCTGCTTAGGATCTCACAAGGCAGAATCAAGATGTTAGTCAAATGGGACTTTTATCTGGAGGTTCTAGGGAAGAATCTGCTTGCAAGTTCATTCAGGTTATTTGCAGAATTCAACTTCGGTGGTTGTAGGACTGAGGTCCCTGAGTTTTTGATGGCTGTTAGCAGAGACTGCTCTCAGCTCCTGGAGGCCTCCTTCAGGTCCTCGACTGTGGCCCTTTTCATTTCAGCAACAGAGAACCTTTCTCCTGTCAAATCTCTCTCATGCTTCGAATCTCTCTGCCTTCTCTGGTGCAACCAGCAGGAGAAAACTCTCTGCTCTTAAAAGGCTCATGCAATCAGTTTAGGCCCATCCAGATTATCTCCCTGTTGATGAACTTAAAGTCAACTGGTTGCTTCTGCAAAATCCCTTGTACATGTAAGAAAACATTATAATGAGAATGATATCCTATCATGTTCAAATGAGAGGGAATTATACAAAGTGAGAATCACTGGAAATCATAGAATTTTACCATACAACAATATTCCTCCCACTGTTGTTTTAATTACAGACAAAATGGGAAAGAGCCTAAATGTGTAGCAAAAAGGATTAGGTAAATGAATTAAGAAATATATATGCTAAAATACTACTGAGCCACTGAAGGAGAGTATTTAATGATTGGAAGAAAATTCCATAATATATTCAGTGAAAAAAGCAAAATACAAAACCGTATGCCAACAAAACCAACATACACTGAAAGTTACATGAGGACAGGGGCTCATGGCTATTCCTACCGTGTTTAGTACTCAGCAAACAGTAGGTTCTAAATCACAATTTGTTAAATAAATGTAGAAAAATATATATTTATAGAAAAAAGACATTGACAAAAATGTTCAGTGTTAATTCTAGATAATGGAATTATGGATAACTTCAGTTTTTTTCTCTTTGTAGTTAAAACAATTTCTACTCTTATGTTCTTTTTTTTTTAATTTTTTTTTTCAACGTTTATTTATTTTTGGGACAGAGAGAGACAGAGCATGAACG